GGGACACTAAGGGAAGGTGGGCCGGTGGCAAAGGGCATATGTCCTAAGAGAAAGCCTCCAGTGGTTCTAGAGATTAACGGTACAGCAGAAACATGCTAAACTGTGTGTAGGCACTGTAGTAATGGAGACAGAGACAAAAAAGGCACAGTCCCGGCCTTTAATCCACCTCAGTACAATATGTGAGCCTAGACCACACCCCAGGGGAGGGGGAAGGCACGGAAGGAAGGCGGCTGAGAGCTGGAAACTGACTGGACAGAGAATTCCACCAGCCTGAGAAACAAAGTCTTGAAGGGAAACGAGAGGCACCAAGAACTCAGGAGTCAAGGCATCCAGGTGGGAACACAGGATGGACAACACAGAGGAGCTCAGTTTTCTGATGGAGCCCTGGTTGGGAAGGCTGCCGTGACTAAGGAAGGTGGATCTGCCAGTGGGGTCCCATTCTGGAGAGCAAACTGTGGCTGAAGTACTCTGACAGCAAGCACTGAAGCACAGCCTTCCAACAGAGACAAAAGCAGCTTCTTCCAGGATGAAAAGCACAGGGGACTGTGAACTTATTTTTCTGTGAAGGCTGGGGCAGAAGATTGGCACCAGTCCACCCAAAATGCTTCCAGAGCATTCAATGCAGTACATTCCCATTACCCTGTCCGAGGAGGCCTGCGCACCCTCTCCTACAAGAAGCTTTTTGTAACTAACGCGACTTCCCTGCTTACCAGGCAGAAGGCATTTCCTCCCCTTTGTCCTCTGAACGCCTACCCTGCCGTCACGGCCTGTCTCCACATCTGTCTCCCCGAACATCAAGCAGTCTCGGGTCAGGGACAGTCTGCCTGCTCGGTCTCAGGAAGCTAGCAGGTCCACGGCCTTGGAGATGGCAGATGGCTTGCCTAGGGTCCCCTAACAGGGCTGAGTCTAAAAACCAGCTCTGTCTGATTTGAAAGCCCGTGCTCCCTTCACTCTGGTACAGGGCCTCCCGAGGATGAAGAAGCGGCCCGGAGCAGCCTGTGCTCGAGCCCCAGCACTGTGAATGCTCAGGGGAAATATCAGAGCAGACCAGACAACGAGGGACAGGTTCCTGAGGGAGGGAGGCCTTGAAAAACCTGACGATTCAAGCAAGAAGAGGGAGACGGGGGTGGTGTAGGCAGACAGAGCCAAGAGGCCAATGGCTGGGAGCGCAGGCTCCGTGCTGCGGAGGAGAGGGATCAGAGCTGCGGGGTAACAGTCATAATGGTAACTCTCCCACGCGCCACACCCCCGCCAGAGTCTTTCCAGACAGCACTATCTTCACACTATCCCCTGTGAAGCAGGGATAAGAAAGCGGAGGCTCACAGTGAGGGTAATACGTCCAAGGTGACACAGCTAGGAGGTGGGGGAACAGGGATTCAAAGCAGAATGGCCTGACTCTGATGCCTGAGGTGCTCTTTCTGTTACTCCATGCTGCCTCCTAATGGGCCAGAGCGCTTCCCACCATCAACGGGACACTGCTACCTACACTCCCCCTGCTTAGCAGGGACTTCTGGTCTGGGAGCAAGAGGTGCTGCCTCCTCTCACTGTAACTCCCCTCTCCCCCACTTTAAGAGTTATACAGAGAGAGGGAGAAATGAAAAGGCAGAGATCTCCCATCCACTGTTTCACTCCCCAAGTAGCTACAATAGCCAGGGCTGAGACAGGCTGAAGCCAGGAGCCACATCTGGGTCTCCCATGCAGGTGGCAGGGGCCCAAGGAGTTGGGCCATCTTCTGCTGCTTTTCCCAGGCCATAGCAGAGAGCTGGATTGGAAGTAGAATACCCAGGACATGAACCAGCACCCATATGGGATGCTGGCACTGTAGGTGGCAGCTTTATCCACTACACCACAATGCCGGCCCCTCACTGTAACCTCCTAAGACCTAGGGGCCCTGAACCCTACAGACTAAGCAACTTCAAGGAAAAGGGTTCCATGTGGACCCCGTGAGTAAGGCTGGCCTCTGTGTCCAGGCCTGATTTGGCCCTCACAGACATAGCCTCTAAGCGGCTACAGCAAAGCTAGTGGCAAGCACAGGCTAAGAAAGCTGGATGGGGCAGGAAGGCAAACTCTTTGGAGGTCAGCTGAGGTCAAAAGACTTTGGATATGTTCCTGGTGACAGCCCCTAGGATAAGAGAGCAGGATCCTGCCTCTCGGTTGGCTGGTCACAAACACAGGCAGACCAGGGGAGGTTAAGGGGCGGAGGGAGGTCAGAAGCTGGTAGGCCTGCAGGCCCTGAGTGATGGCGATGTGTTCAGGTCTGGGAGGGAGAAATAAGTGGGTTAATAGTTTTGGCCCTTGCGGCTGGGAGGCTAGGGCAGGGGGTGTAACGGATGGTGGCTAAAAAGGCAGGTGGGAGAAATGTAAAGGTGGGGGCTCAGGGCATCTGTTCCAAGTCAACAGGCAGGAATCATAGCCCTGGAACGGCTCAAAGGGCCAGCCCTGGCCTGGGGGGTAGGGTGCAGGGAGCCTCATAAAAGGCCCTTGCCTCTCCATTTCAAAGGTGTTCGATCTGGAAGGCAAGGGAGAGGGGCTCCTCACACAGCAAATCGTCTGCTGTTAGGAGGCTGGGGGCAGTGTGAATCTTAACTACTGCACAATGGCTGGGAGTACTGATTGATTTAAGGCATGGCAGAGAGAAGCCCCTGGCGCATACTCCAACTTTTAACTATAAATGACTTGTCAGAGAGCTTTCCAAAGGACAAAGTAAGAAGCATACTTCCGGGGAACGTTTTCTAAGCCTCTGCTTCTTGAGTCCTCACTCCAAAAGCATTGCTCATCCCAGGCCCCAGCACCACATCCCCAAGCAGAGTACCCTTCATGTTGTCCGTGCCCACCAGGACACATCCTGGCCGCTCTGGGGCAAGACCCTTGTAGGCTGGGGGCAGAGGCCTGGGCCTGGGTTTTAAGCCAGCTTGTGTGCGGCTGATAGAAGGTGGCAAGATTGGGAGTTTCTGGGAAGTCCCCTCACCCAATCATTTCACTAAGGTCAGAAGCTTATCTGAGGCACCGGGCCCAGAGTGGCGAAGAGGACCTCTGAGACCTTTCCAGCCCTCTGGTTCCATGAAGAATGACCCAACAATGAGGACTCGGGGGTCCAGCCCCAAGAGTGTACCTGGCCCTCCAGAAGTGGCAGGAAGAGGATGGCATTGTGGCGCAGTGGGTTAAGTCGTAGTTTATGATGCCAGCATCTCAGAGCGTCAGCTCATGTACTGTCTGTTCCATTTCCAATTCAGCTCCTTGCTAATGTGCCTGGTAAGGCAGCAGAAGATGGCCCAAGTACTACCATCTTCTGGCAGACCTGGACAGAGTTCTAGGCTTGTGGCTTCAACCTGGTCCTGTCCAGCTATTGAGGCCATCTGGGGGGTGAACCAGTGGATGGAAGCTCAATCGATCAACCTCTTTGTTTCTGTCACTGCCTTTCAAATGAATGCCTTTTTTTTTTTTTTAAAGATTTTATTTATTTGAGGGGCACAGTTACAGAGAGAGAGAAAGAGGGAAGGAGGGAGGGAGAGAGAGAGGGAGGGAGGGAGGGAGGGAGGGAGGGGTCTTCCATCCGTTGGTTCACTCCCCAAATGGCTACAACAGCCAGAGCTGGGCCAATCCAAAGCCAGGAGCCTGGAGCTTTTTCCAGGTCTCCCATGTGGGTACGCAGGCCCAAACCCTTGGGTCATCTCCCACTGATTTCCCAGGCTACAAGTAGAGGGCTAGATCAGAAGAGGAGCAGCTGGGACTCAAACAGGCACCCATATGGGAAGCCAGCATCATAGACAGAGGCTTAGCCTACTATACCACAGCGCCGGCCCCATAAATAAGTCTTAAAAAAGAAGAAGAAAAAAAAAGTGCCACGGAGGGCATGAATAAGCGGCACTCACTCAGGGGCCTGGGCTCCATACATCCTGGCAAGATGCTTCTCTTACTATCCCAAAGGGAGGCTGGAGTGGGATACGAAAGAGTAGGAGAGGGGCCAGCGCCGTGGCTCACTTGGTTAACCCTCTGCCTGTGGCGCCGGCTTCCCATATGGGCGCCGGGTTCTAGTCCTGGTTGCTCCTCTTCCAGTCCAGCTCTCTGCTGTGGCCCGGGAGGGCAGTGGAGGATGGCCCAAGTGCTTGGGCGCCTGCACCCACGTGGGAGACCAGGAAAAAGCACCTCGCTCTTGGCTTTGGATTGGCGCAGTGCTGGCCATAGCAGCCATTTGGGGAGTGAACCAATGGAAGGAAGACCTTTCTCTCGGTTTCTCTCACTGTCTGTAACTCTACCTGTCAAATAAATTAAAAACAAAAACAAAAACAAAAACAACTTTTTAAAAAAGTGTTGTTAAAAAAAAAAAAAAAGAAAGAGTGGGAGAGTGCTGGCTTGGGAGGGGTCTGGCAGGTTCAGCTCGTCTGGGGCTGGCACACAATGTCTCTCCATCTAACCCAAGGGAGGGCAGTCATCATTCAACAGGTATTTACCGAGTGCTTATTATGGGCCAAGTACTGTACTAGGTGTGGGGACACTTCAATATGTCAGCCATGCTTCCTGTGTTCAGAGAGCTCAGAGACAAGTTAGAGAGAAAGCTACTGAACAAAGAAAAACAATTTCAGATCGTGACAAGCGCAATGATGGGAAAGAATAGGGTGTCATGATCCAGAGCAATGGAAGGGGCCTGAGATGGGTAGGGCGGGATCAGGGAGGACGTCTCTGCCACCAGTTTAATATGGCCTGTAAGAGCCTCTCCCTTGCTTCCTTAGCCTTGCTCTGCGGGTCACAGGGGAGAAGACAGGACCCTTCTGGGAGAGCAGCAATTGGAAAAAACTCTCACAGCACATGCTGACAGGCAGCGTGGTGTGGTGCATCCCCCCCAACACAAAGAACACACATTAGCCACAGGAGGGCAAATCTCAGGAGCACATTGCCACTCTCAGGAGGCACAGCCATTCTCAAGGCATGTCCCGCTGGGAGAGGGTTAATGGGGCTCCCAGGTGAGCCCCTCTCCTCCAGCCCATCCACTATGCTCTCACCTCCATCAAGCAGCTCCTTGACAGTGCGGTAGTCATCAGCAAGGACGGCATAGTGCAGGGCCGTGCAACCCTTGAAGCTGGCACGGTTGTTGAGCCGGTTGTTGAAGTCATCCTCGCGGGTGACCAGGACTGCAGAGACAGCAACACACAGGCTTCCGTTAGCAACAAATGCATGAGCCACCAATTTTACCTGCTTTCTCTAGGCATTTAATTCACTCGCCCACTCATCCTCCTATTCACTAAACATTAATTGGCACCTATTACGTACCTGGCCATCAGTGCTGGCAATAGGAGAGAGAACAGGCCAGTGAGTCCCACAAATGCTGACTGACAACTGTTATTTGTTAGGATTCATCGTGGGGCCATAAAATCAATCAGACGTGGTCCCTGACCTAATCTGAAGAGGGAGGCAGACAATAAACAGATCTTTATATAGTCCTGTTTGAGAAAAATGCTGTATTAGTGGTGTAATGGGGTGATTCAGAAAGCCACACAGGAGCCTGGCTCAACTTGGGCATGAAGAGATCCTCCCAGAGGAGGAAGGGACGCTATCTTGGATGAAGGCGGCTAGAGAGGGCAGAGGAAGAGAACAGCGGCACATGGAAGCTGTTCTGGAGACTAACACATCTCTGCTCTGAAGACATTCAGAGTCTGGTGGGCTATTTTAAATTCTTAAAGAACTTTTAAAATTTCTAAAAGTGATGAAAATTTGAAATCACAGGAGAGTGCAAAGAAGAAAGGGGCGAACATCTCAGTAACTTGAGAAACCATTTAGCACTCTGATGTGTGTCCTTCCAGATGGCGTAGACACAATCCCATGGGTTCAGTATGTCTCTGTGTGCCTGTGTGTGTTCCCTCCAAGACTGGAATTTATTGTCTATGTATTGTTGTGATCTGCTTTTCTACCCTACCTGTAAACATTCCTGGAAAGGAAGAACAAGCATTTCATGTGGTCAAGGAACCCGAAACTCCCAGGCTCACTTTAGTGTCAATATCCATGATCATCTCTCTTCAATTTGATAGAAGATAATCTAAGAGCAATCATTGCTTTCACAAGACTCTCTGGATTGGGTAATCACACACAGCCCTATCCACCCAAGAGGATCACTGATTTACACCTGTTATCTTGGCTAGTCTCAGTGTGGACCATAAACTGGAAGGTAACCCCACCTGTGGGACCTTACCAGGGGAAATGAGACCTCCAAGAACAATGTCTATTCTGCTCAAGTGATAGTTTCTTTCTACCTTGGTGGGAAATCATCTGGGTTAACTATCTGATGTTCCCTCTGGGTGGAGTTCATTGTGGTTCTGCCTACCAGCATCCCTTTTTCCCCTAGTCCCTGGTACATATCCTACAAAGGGTGGGCTCCTCTTGCCTCTCATTGGAAAAAGGGATATATTCAGTCAAGGAGTGATCTGGCCTAGGAAGTCAAAAGCAAAAGATAATTCCTAACCACTCTTTTCCAGGTGGTCATGCGTTTCACCTCCTGCTGGACTGAATAAGCTATGTATAGTCCAGAAGCCGGAGGACTGTCATGCTTCCTCATCCTACTAACAGATCTTATTTGTTGACATAGCTGGCATGGTCACTCAGCATACTTAACCTGATTGAATTCTTCTAACGACCGAACACAGTGGGAATTATTCTTCCCATGTTACAGATGAGGACACTGAAGTTCAGATGCCACATAACCAGTAAGCGGCTGAGCAAGGATTAGAACCCAGGTTCAGTCTGAGTTCTCACTTTCTTTCCAACCTACCATGCAACCAGCCTCATTTTGCAAGTGAGAGAAATCAGAACTCAGAGAAAGGAGAGCCCAAATGACCTGGTCTTACCCCTGGCTCTGATGCCCTCTGCTTTCTCTGCTCAAGGAAAGGTGCAAGCACTCTCTCTGGGGAACTTGCCTGAGGCTCACAGCTGGCTGGGGTGGAGGCATTTCCACCAAACATGTAAGAATATGAAGTTAGAGTGGTGCGTAGCTGGAGGACACTCCACATTCTCTGTGATCTACAGAATCAATGGTCAGTTAGCACTTCTACTCCAGACTGATGACCCCTCAGCATTATCTGACCTTTGCTGGAGAAGGGAGAACAGGAAGTAGGAAGGCCTCTGCACAGCTAACGTCATCGTCCCATGAGCAATGGCATCCACACATTTCCTCCAAAAGAGCCGCTGGGACCTCAGTCAGAGATAGCTAACTCTGAGTCACAACCAGTCTTACCAAATCATGCTAGATAAGCTTGTTCGCAGCCCACTGCAGATGAGGAGCACAGAGAAGGTGGCTGGGGACAACACTTTAGAATCAAGCAGATTGATTACAATCAAGCACTGGCCAGGCAGGGAGGGAAAAGAACGGGACAATGAAAAGCTGAAAAGGAATTCAGAGTACAGCACCTCAAAGCCCCTCAGGGCTTCACTGAACTGCCACACAGGATGTTAACTGCTGGATATAATGACGAACCTGAGGAAAAGTGATAGTTGGCTCAAGAAAGCAAGAAGGGTCTAATCCATTTGACAAAGAAAACACATCATTCACTCAACAAACAACATTTAATGAGCACCAGTGCACGGTGGTAGCTTCTGGACACACAATAATGAATAATCAGACCACTGAGCAGACAAGCAGTAACAGTCTCACAAGTGCAGCAACAAGGCTGCTCACCACAAAAGCAGAGGAAGTCCCGGAGCCCCGTTAGGGCCACTTCAGTTCCCACGTCATCAGTGCTGACTAACACGGAATGTCCATGAGGAGGACCCCTGCTCCTCTCAGGGCTCTCTATCACAACTCTCTTCCTACCACCCCAGTGCCTGGAACATCTCTCTCCCACACCTTCGGGGTGCTAACTCCAATTCATTTTTAGGTCTTCGGTTAGAAGTCACTTCCCTCCAGTGATGCCTCCCAGGCCTGAAGTCATTTCTGCTCCTAAGAGCTCCTCAGGCATCTCCCGACAGTTTTTTTTTTTTTTGGACAGAGTGGACAGTGAGAGAGAGAGAGAGAGAGAGAGAGAGAGAAAGGTCTTCCTTTACCGTTGGTTCACCCTCCAATGGCGTACCGCGCTGATCCGATGGCAGGAGCTAGGTGCTTCTCCTGGTCTCCCATGGGGTGCAGGGCCCAAGCACTTGGGCCATCCTCCACTGCACTCCCTGGCCACAGCAGAGAGCTGGCCTGGAAGAGGGGCAACCGGACAGAATCCGACGTCCCGACCAGGACTAGAACCCGGTGTGCCGGCGCCGCAAGGCAGAGGATTAGCCTAGTGAGCCGCGGCGCCAGCCCCGACAGTATTTTATTCTGTTGCACCCACCTGCTGTTTCCCCACTAGGACAAAAGCTCAGTGAGAACAGGAAGGGTGACCATCTTTTCCCCAGTTATATCCCCAGAGCCCAGCCCTGTGTTGGGCCATAAACATACCCCTGACAAATGCTTGTTGAACTAACAAATAAAATACACCATAAATATGGCACTACTATTATCTTTGTTTATGGAATAGTAACAACAGTACCAGCCAACAGCAGAGGAGGAGTAGAATGAGACTGTTCAATAAGTGAGCTCTGCAGCCAGAGCACTTGCATTTGAACTGCAGTTCTGAATTTCCAGACTGTGCAATCTGAGGCAATTTACCTAACCTCTCTGTGCCAAGTACCTGGAGATGGCAACAGCACCTCCTCCACAGGTTGTTGCAAGGATTACATGAAGGGGCTCACCACAGAGCCTGGCACACAGTGCCTCTCAATCAACATTTGCTATTATCCTTATGGCCTAATCTTGTGCTTCCCAAAGTACGTTCTGCCTGCCTGTGGAAAAAGGTTTCATTTGGGGGCCAGCGCTGTGGTGCAGTGGGTTAACACCCCAGCCTGAAGCGCCAGCATCCCATATGGGCGCCAGTTCGAGTCCCAGCTGCTCCACTTCCGATCCAGCTCTCTGCTATGGCCTGGGAAAGCAGTAGAAGATGGCCCAAGTCCTTGGGCCACTGCACACATGTGGGAGACCCTGAAGAAGCTCCTGGCTCCTGGCTTTGGATTAGCGCAGCTCTGGCCGTTGCAGCCATCTGGGGAGTGAATCAGTGGATGGAAGACCTCTCTCTCTCTCTACCTCTCTCTGTAACTCCATCTTTCAAAATAAATAATAATTTTAAAAAAATTAAAAAGAAAAAGGTTTCATTTGGGAGCACCGCATACACCTTTCCTCTGAGAGACGCCCCGTGAGCATGAACAAGCAGTGCCGAGTGAAGAACTGCCAGTTCCACCTGAAGTCACTCAGCAACTGCTTGCTGGACGGCCTCCTCCCGCCTCCTGCTGAGAACCGCGCAGCAGCACCACCACCGTTCTGCAGCGTGGCTGAGGGCGACAAAGGGGTGGGGCGAGGTGCCCTCACCGATGAAGGGGAAGTATATCCTCAGAAGCTCACCAGCGGCGAACATGGACGTGTTTCCAGGCCTGTGTGTATAGCTGGTCCCCAGCTGGTGGACCGTTTCTTCCCAGCCTGTCCCTCATGCAGGGCGAGGCTGGCTCAGCTTCCTGCTTCTCCTCCCTGGCCCTTCAGGGGCGGGGAGCGGGGAGTTGAGGGGAGGAGGTTCTGTGGCCCTCACACCCAGGAGGAGTCAGGTAGCATCACTCTCACACCCTTCTGCTTCCACCCCTGCCGTCTGAGATTGAAATGTCTACACATAGGTGCCACATTCAGGTCTAGGAGCTTGTGGCAGGTCTGTGCCCAGAGGTACACTCTGCAGGATTCCCTGGCTTCAGCAGTGGCAGACTCAGCAGAAGCAGAAAGTGGTCCCTGAAGCCCGGCATGCAGCCCTACCACTCCCCAGCCTGCTCAAACCGCAAAACACATGCCCTCCCATGATGAGAAACTGCTATTTAAGGAGTCATACCAGTTCTGAATCTTAACTGTCATTTATGTACTATCTGTAAAATGGGTCTAGGCAGTAATCTGAAGAATACTGAAAAAAACATTAAGAGAATCAAATATGGTAACAGGTTTTAAAAACATTGCTGAGAACATTACTAACACTGCTCTTCTCCCTGGGGTTCCGCACTAGGAGCACAGAAATAGACCACGTGTGGCTAAGGCACTAAGTCTAGTAGGGGAGATTTTTTTGAAAAAAGGTCTAAGAGGTAAGGTCTC